GTAGAGCGCTAGCCTTGAGCTGAAGAGCTGAGGGACAGCGCCCAGGCCCAGAGTTCAGGCCCCACGACCGGACCCAAAAACAAAACAAAACAAAATTTTGTTAATTAAAATGGAATGTTGGGCACTGGTGGCTCATGCCTGTAATCCTAGCTACTCAGGAGGCTGAGATCTGAGAGTCACAGTTCAAAGCCAGCCAGGGCAAGAAAGTCTGTGAGACTCTTATCTCCAATTAACCACCAGAAAACTGGAAGTGGTGCTGTGGCTCAAGGGGTAGAATGCTCACCTTGGGGTGAAGAGCTCAGGGACGGCACGTAGGCTGAGTTAAAGACACATGACTGACCAAGAAAAAAGAAATTAAAGGTGATTGTGGTGGTACTAATGTTTGAATTCAGGACCTCATGTGTACTAGGCAAGCATTCTACCTCTTACGCTACTCCTGCAGCTCTTATCGCTGTAGTTTAGTTTTGCGGTAGTGTCTTGAACATTTGCTTGGACCGGCCTTGAACAGTGACCCTCCAGGCTCCACTTCTAGTTCGCTGGGGTTGTGATTGAAAAGTGAGTGCAGTGAATCAAGCTTTTCCTTTGGCATGAGAATTTAAGCAAGAGGCAAATAGTAAAAGTGAATGAGAAATTGGTTAGAAAATATGGCAGAGAAAGATCTTTACATAGCATGATGCCACAGGAAGATGACACTTCATCTTCAGCCATCTTCAGGGCATAGATATGAGCATTAGGTTTAAGTAGAGGACGAATTAGGGGCAGGTGACAAAGGTGTGCAGAGTTTGCGAGTCCCAGGTATAGGTGTGGCCTGGCTGGTCGTTTTCTCAGTTCTGGGCCGCCTGGGTTCTGGGGGAGTTGTCATCATTTTCTGTCAGGAATCTAAGATCTCAGGATCTGGTTCAAAGTCAGCCATGGCGGCCAACTCTGAGAGATACTTACTTCCAATTAACCACCGGAAGGCTGGATGTAGAACTATGGTTCAAGTAGTGCAGCAGCAGCCTTGAGTGAAAAAGCTAAGGGATCACTGTGCCCAGGCTGAGAGCTCAGGTAGGACTGGCACACACGCAAGAGCAAGCTCCTTGAGCCCCAGGGTACCCATGCCCTTCTAACCCATCAGTAGCTTCAGCAAAAGAAATCCTGGGTCTATCTATGGCTCAAAAAGTCCCCAAGCACCAGGTATCAGTGGTTTATGGCTGTTATCCTAGTTACTTGGGAGACTAAGATTGGGAGGATTAAGGTTGCAGGCCAGCCTGGGCAGTGAAGTTCACGTGATTCCATCTCGACAAAGGAAGAGGGCAACACACATCATCATCCCAGCCATGTGAGGAAGCAAACAATAGAATTACAGTCCAGGTAAATACCTGGGCAGGAGGTGAGTCCCTATCTCAAAAATAACCAATGTGCTGGACACTGGTGACTCATGTCTGTAATCCCAACTACTCAGGAGGCTAAGATCTAAGGATTGTGGGTCAAAGCTAGCTTGAGCAGGAAAGTCCATAATATTCTTATCTCCAATTAACCAAGAAAACTGGAAGTGGAGCTAGCAGTAGAGTGCTAGTCTTGAGCAAAAGACCTCAGAGACAGCACCCCAGCCTTGAGTTCAAGCCCCATGACTGACCAAAAAATTGCAAAAATGAGTCATTGATATGGCTTTGTGGTAGACCTCCTGCCTAGCACACTCAGGGTCCTGAGTTCAAACCTCAGTCTTGCCTACTTCCCAAAATGTCCCCAAGATCCCTGTACTTATTTCTTGTCTGTCAGATCCAACTATTTTGTTTCTGAGTAAAAGAGACTAAAGAAAGTAGGTTCTAGCTGGGCATGGTGGATCATGCCTATAATTCCAGCACCCGAGGCTAAGGCAGGATTGAGTTTGAGGCCAGCATAGGCTACATAACAAATCCTGTCTCCCAAAAACTAAAAAGCAAGCAAGCAAATAAAGAGAATCACCAGAAATAAACAGTATTTTTTTTCTTTTGCTTTATTCTGGTGACAAGCAGGATCCTTAGATGGGAAATGGATCTGTTAAGAAAAAATAAGAACACTGCCATTAGCTTCAACAATTCCTGCGACCCAGAACTCCAGTACTTTCCAGTTTCATTATGAGTTACGCAGCAAAGATTTTTTTTTTTTTTTGACAGTCATGGGGCTTGAACTCTGGGCTTGGGCGCTGTCCCTGCGTTCTTCAGCTCAAGGAGAGTGCTCTACCGCTTGAGCTACAGCGCCACTTCCACTTTTCTGGTGGTTAATTGGAGACAAGAGCTTCATGGACTTTCCTGCCTGGGCTGGCTTTGAACCATGATTCTCAGATCTCAGCCTCCGGTAGCTAGGATTACAGGCGTGAGCCACTGGCGCCAGGCCAAAGATTCTTATAATGCAGTATTGGGGGGACATGGCAGGACCCTGAAACTTGAGAAAACAGTGGCGTGACAGTGGTGGTCTAGTTTTAAGGACTGAGTAGGCAATAAAATTACAGGGATGCATATCTGCTTCTTGCATCTGTAGCCTGCCTGGCAGGGTATATATGGCAATGTACCATTGGTCTTGGGGTCAGCCTGTGGATCTGAATCTGCTGGCCCACTGCTGGCAGAAAATAAGCATCGTTTCTCCAAAAGCCCTGGTATCCTGATGCTGAGTGTGCCACAGCATTTCTGGGGAGCCTGTCTAGCACTAGGACTTGGTCTTCCCAAAGGAGTCATTAATTCAGGAATACTGGAAAGGGGGTTTGGATAGCCCAGAGGAGCCCAGAGAGGGCTCTGAACCACGCAGGGGCTTCACGCATCAGTACGAGTGCTGGTAAGAACCCTGCTTGTTAGGTTGGCTGCCCTTCAGAAGCAAGAAGGGGAGCACAGTGCCTGTGGCTCACACCTGTGATCCTAGTGTGCAGGAAGCGGAGCTCTGAGGATCTCAGTTCAAAGCCATCTAGGGAAGGGAAGTCCATGAGACTCTTATCTCCCAAAAAAACCACCCAAAAGCCTGAAGTGGAGCTGTGGCTCAAATGGTAGAGCACTAGCCTTGAGCACAAAAGCTCAAGTCTAGGCCCTGAGTTCAAGTCCCAGGACTGGTGCAAAATATATATACATGTATATATATATATGTGTATATATGTATATACATATATCTATATGTATATATATATATACATATAGATATATATGGGGGGGAAAGAGGTGAAAGGGGAGTCTGGTCACCTTCTAGACACAGCTGAGTAGCCCTATCTGGGGCAAGATGTGTCTGTGAGGTTCAGGGAGCAGGTGGAAGAGATAACCCCTTTCCCCCACTCCGACCCCATCCCCCATCACGTCTGTCACATGTCTATCATATCTCTGGTAAAGGGTAGAAATGGTGGAATCAGAATAGGGCCATCCCCCTTTGAATGTATGTGTAAGAACTTTTAAAAAGGGATTTAATGGAGACAAATTAACCCCTGGCAAACTCCAGACCCTGGAAGAATCTCCAGGGGTTGGTTCCTCAATGCCTGGCTGAGGCTCTTTGTCCCTTTTGTGCTTTGGGATGGATTCACTACCTATGTCCAATATCAAATAAGTCCTGTGCCCGCTAACCCCAAAATGGGAACATTAGGCCCTTCTTGACAAGAACACAGTGTCACAGCCACTGCCATCATCCCAATCTGTTTAGGAGTGAAGATTAAGGGTTCCCTCCTCTCCGTTTCTGCAGGCTGCCTCCTCCTCGCCCTCTCACTCTAGGAAGAGCTGCTTCACACGCTAAGCTAAGTTGGGCCATGTCTTTAGGGGGTAGTTTTTGAGATCAGGCTTAGATGAGATCTAAAGTCCAGATTGGTAAAGGGGTTGCAATCTGCCTAGGTCTTAAGGCCTTCCTCATGACTGTAGCCAGCAGGTGGCTGTGGGAGGCAGAAAAGGGGAGAGGCAGCCTTCTTCCCATGGGGCTCTTGTCTCAGGGACCCCTGGAGATAATGGAGAGCCTACATCTGGGCCTTTCTTTTCTTTCTTCTCCCCCCCCCCCTTCCTTCCTTTCTTTCTTTTTGTTGGTAAGTGGGGCTTGAACTCTGGGCCTGGGAGCTGCTCCTATGCTCTTCAGCTCAAGGGGAGAACTCTACCACTTGAGCCATAGCACCACTTCTGGTTCCCTGGTGGTTTATTGGAGATAAAGGGTTTCACAGACTTTCCTGCTCAAGGCTGGCTTTGAACTGCAATCCTCAGATCTCAGCCTCCTGAGAAGCGAGGATGACAGGCCTGAGCCATCAGCGCCTGGCTCTGAGCCTTTCTTTTATGGGTGTTTCTAGCTTCTAAAACACCAGAGGGCACAGACCTGGACCCACAGACCTTTCACAGTCGTACCCAAGCTTGGTCCCAATACCCCGCCAGGAAATGAGGAATATGGCTTGAAGGGGACACTACAAAACACAGTCTTAGAAATAGACCTCTTTGGGGCTGGGAAGGTGGCTCAGTGGTAGAGCGCTTGCCTTGCATGCTTGAGGCCCTGGGTTTGATTCCTCAGCACCACATAAGCAAAAAGAAAAAAAGCCGGAAGTGGTGCTGTGGCTCAAGTGGTAGAGCGCTAGCCTTGAGCTGAAGAGCTGAGGGACAGCACCCAGGCCCAGAGTTCAGGCCCCACGACCGGACCCCCCCCCAAAAAAAAAAAGAAATAGACCTCTCTGTAAATAGGAAGAAAGAAAGAGAAAGTCCAGGCTTTCTCTCCTGGGGACCAGAATCCTGTTTTGGTGCCCCATTCATTCTCCTTACAAGATCTTAAGCAGATGAACGGTCCTCTAGGAGTGCTCAAAGGGCAAGTGGTTTGCTAATATCAGCTGAGCTCTCTAACAAGGCTGCTATACAAGAATTCCGTTCTTGGTAACCTAAGTTTGTTCTAAGAATAGAGATTCTGTGTCTGCTGCTGGCAAAACTTTCCCCAGTCCTTGTTTTTCTAGCAGAGGCCATCATGTGATTCTATCCATCTTAAAGGACTGGCCTGCTCGCTTCCAACAACAGAGATGAAGGCCTGTGCCATTCTGTCTCCCTGCCCCTGGGAAAAATGGTAACCAATATGGAGAAAAAGAAAATCTATCTTAGGACTGGGAAGGTGGCTTAGTGGCAGAGTGCTTGCCTAGCATGCATGAAGCCCTGGGTTTGATTCCTCAGTACCACATACACAGAAAAAGTCAGAAGTGGCACAAAGGCTAAAGTGGCAGAGTGCTAGCCTTGAACAAAAAGAAGCTCAGGGACAGTGCCCAGGCCCCTGATTTCAAGCCCCAGGACTGGCAAAAATCAAATCAAAACAAAACCCAAAATCTATCTTAGAGTACTTTAATATACTTCTTGTATTTGTACATTGGTCTATCAAACATTGGTCAAATATATGTCATTTACCACTAAAATTCCAAAAAACAATTTATAGCCATTTTCATTTTTGAGCTAAATTTTTATGCACACTTTACATATCTAAATGAAAACTTATTATGCACAGTTATATGTAAACATGTACAAATGATCTGATATTTTTCATGAATAAAAACTGTTTCACTGTAAAAAGGTGGTTGTCCTAGCTCAATTAGGGTTAATAAATTCAGGCTTAGTTGGCTGAAGCGGGGGAGGTAGTTTTAAACTCAAACTACAAAAAGAGGTATTAAGACTTGGTGGGTGCTAATAAATGTATTTAATCATTACATTACATTTTAATTGCTGTTCTTCATAGATAGAGAATAGTTTCTTTAAAAACTGTTATTTGAGCCGGGTACTGGTGGCTCACACCTATAATCCTAGCAACTCAGAAGGCTGAAATGTGAGGAGCATGGTTCAAAGCAGCCTGGGCAAGAAAGGCTGTGAGACTCTTATCTCCAATAACCCGCTCAGAAAACCAAAGTGGTGGTTTGGCTCAAGTGGCAGAGCCTTGAGCTGAATAGCTGAGGGACAGCGCTCAGGCCCAGAGTTCAAGGCCCATGACTGACAAAACAAAACAAAAATCCCCCCAAACAACTGTTATTTGATTTTTTGTTTTGGCCAGTCCTGGGGCATGAACTCTGGGCCTAGATACTGTCCCTGAGCTCCTTTTGTTCAAGGTTAGTTTTGTACCACTTGAGCCACAGTGCCACTTTCAGCTTTTTCTGTGATTAATTGGAGATAAGAGTCTCATGAACTTTCCTGTCCAGGCTGGCTTTGAACTGTGATCCTCAGATAGCCTCCTGAGTAGCTAGGATTACAGGCGTGAGCCACCAGCAGCTGGCTAACAACTGTTATTTGAGTTCAAAGGTTTTATAAAAGTTATATCAAAATACAATTTAAAGGGGAAGATCAGTAAATAAGAGAAGATATGTAACGTAAGAAAAAAAGATGAGGGGAGGAGTTAAATAAGGCTTTAAAAAGAAATTGAAGGGGGCTCAGAATGTGACTTAGTGGTAGAGTGTTTGCCTAGCATGCATGAAGCCCTGGGTTTGATTCTTCAGTACCACATAAACAGAAAAAAATCAGAAGTGGCTCTGTGGCTCTCAAGTGGTAGAGTGCTAGCCTTGAGCAAAAGAAGCTCAGGGACAGTGCCCAGGCCCTGAGTTCAAGTCCCAGGACTGGCAAAAAAAAAAAGGAAGAAGAAGAAGGAGAAGGAGGAGGAGGAGAAGGAGAAGGAGAAGAAGGAGGAGGAAGAGGAGGAGGAGAAGGAGGAGGAAGAAACAGGGAAAAATTGATTTTATAAGAAAGGACTTAAGGAGTAAAGATTGTCTTAACTGCTTGTTCCAAAATGGAGAAAGGGGAAATTAAGACAAATCTTACAAGGTTCAACAAAGTAGCAGTGGGTGTGAAAATTTTTATAAACTATATATGATAAAACTTTAAGACAGGGCTGGGCACCAGTGGCTCATGCCTGTAATCCTAGCTACTCAGGAGTCTGAGATCTGAGGATCGAGCCTGGGCAGGAATGTCCATGAGACTCTCATCTCCAATTAACCACCAGAAAACTGGAAGTGGCGCTGTGGCTCAAGTAGTAGAGCACTAGCCTTGAGCTCAGGGACAGTGCCCAGACCCAGAGCTGAAGCCTCACAACCAACAAAAACA